TATAATATACTGGATTTGGAGCACTGGTGCTCCAGTCTACCCGCAAATTTTACAGGAGTTAGCAAAGTATACCGGTCCAGCATAATATGCTGGAGTTCGTACACAAATGCACCAGAACTCCCGTATATTATACTGGACCGGTCCCTGTTGCAGCAAAATAGTAGCTATTTTTCATTGACTTGATAAACGCTGGCTATTTTTCATTGACCAGTGTGAAAACTGGCTATACCATAATATTTTAACAGTATAGTATATAAAGTAGATATGTTAATGGTTGTGTAAGAGAGACCATTGTTTTCAGTTTATTTTCTCAATATACAGAAATGATGTTGCTTTTTCTCTCTCTTTTTCCTCTTCTAGACTGTTCTTCCGCCATAGCTGAAAATCCTTAACAAAAGCCCAAAAGGACAATTCCACGAAACAAAGATGCAAGAATGACGCTACAAACTGTCCTCTTCTCAAATTATACATCGCACGAGAACTAAAAGACAACACGACCAAAACAAAAAAGAGAAAGAAAAAAAAATCCCTATATTCATTGCGTTTGCTTTTCCCCCAGTATTTTTGAACGTAAGCTTTGTAACTGGCAGTAACTTTACATGTCCTTAAATGTATTTAGTCCGTTCGTAGTTAATCTTGCTGTGAAACTACATCTAGTTCTCTTAATTGGAATATAATGTACATGACAGAGGATCTGGAAATTAAACAGGGTGTGTGATTATTGTAAGAGAAACCCGCATATAATGATATATCCATAGCAGTGATAGAGCTAAGATTTTGAGTTTATGGGTTCTAAATTCTCTAAAAGGCCGCTTATTGGGTTTAGAATAAAACTAGTTAATTGCCCACGCTGCGCGCAGTTATTAATAAAGATTAAAAATATGATTTAGATAATTATACAATTTATGATTAAATGAATTAGACATTACTCTCTGTTGATTTTATCTTGTCTATTTTCCGGCCGCAATAATTAATGTTATAATTTTATATATTATTTAAGAATTTCCAAAACAAAGAAGATATGTGAAATAAAAAAAAAATACAAAACAAATAAATTTGCACCTTTTCCATTCTGTGTTAACGATGACATGTAAAAATTCATGGTATTTAAAATGTGTTTCAAAATCCGTAAATGCAATAACATATTATTTGTACATGTACAAATATATCAGCAATTATTCTTTACATGAATGATATGGTAAAACTCTTTAATATAGTTGGGTTCTCCATTTGACTTGCTCATTCTTTTTTAATACTCAATCCGTATTTGTGAGATCTTTCTATACGTCACATTTTTGGAAACTTCATATTTTTAGTTGAATATGTTAACAAAAGATAAATGTAATGTTAATGGGTAAAGAACAACACCGTAACAAAAGTGATTCATATAGTATATAAACAATATAATTGATCATTCATATAATTGATATGCATGGTCTATAATCTTTTTATCTATTGCAGAAATCCCATATGATAAAAGAATAATTGTATTTTGAAGATATAAGCATTTGTAAGACCATATTAATCAGTTTAACTTTAACATGAAGATAATTAAAAAAGGTTAATAGTGGTACCTTTAACTAAACCATCATATATTATATAATTATTTCCTAAATCTGGCATGTGCATACAAACACGCCCCCACTCTTCGTGCATAGAGGACAACTTTCTTGACGCAGTGTCCAGCAAGCTTGCCTAGGCCAACAGAAAAAGATTAATTAGAACAGAAGATGACTATCGATAAGAGGATGTTAATTAAAAGGTTATTGATGACTGAAGAAAGATTATAAATTAGAACAAAAAATCATGCGTTCATTAGTTTTTGAAATAAGATTTAAAACTTTCGAAGCTGTATAAAATAGAAGGCAAGTCCATGAAAGATGATGACAATATTAGAAAAAGAGTTTTATGAGAAAAGGAAAGACAAGGAGTAGTTGATAAGAATTTTTTCTATGCCTCTTTTTAATCTTTTTGTTTGTTATTCCCTTTATATATTACAGTTAAAATTATTAAAAGTTGTAACTAAAGTGGAGTTGAATGGACAAAATAATACTTAGTAGCCGTTTTTTCTCCCGAACGGACGCTTCAATGTGGAAACCGTTTTTTACTTCCCTAAAAGGACTTTGGGGCTTTTAATAAATAAAATAAAGCAAAACAATTAGAAGAAAAAACCAAAAAAAGGAGAAATAAGATTAGTAATCCTAGTCTCTAAGAGGTGCCACATCACATTCTTTTATCCCTCCTTTATTTATATATATATATAGATAGATAGATAGATAGATAGATTTATATGCATATTAAGTAATTATTTTAACATAAATACAAAATTTGCATTAAAACTATTGGGTTCCACCAAACTCAAAAACACTACACTAGATCCGGTGGCGCAATCGGGAAGGAAATTCAAAATATAAAGAAATAAACACGAAAAAGTTAACGAGATTCAATATCTACTATATATCCATAAAAAGCAGCTTTGACCTAGTATATATAGTGTAATTTTTTGGTGAAGGGGATGGATCAGTCCCTTCAGCCCTCTAGCACCGCCCATGGCGCCTCCCCCGATCTATAGAAGCGCTACCGTAATGATACATGCAGCCACCTTATCTAAAGGGGTGTCAAATTGACACCCTTCGTTCGTAAAATTACACTATTTAGCTCGATAATTTTTATTTTATACGTATATATAACTATATGTTGACTCCCCTTGATTTTTTTAACTAGTGTGTTTA